TTACAAGGTTCATCTGGAAGTATTGAATATACAACGGCAGTTGAATGAATCAACTCTTAAGCATTTGCCACAACTTATCCACTCCACCAGTCTTCACTATCATGCAGTTAGCTACACCTCGTTATGTTGCTGCATTATTATTCTGCTTGGTCCGCTGAGTTGGAGAATACATTTAAGGTTCAACAAACCAGCTCAATTTACACCTACTCCAGCTGTAAGAACTCACCAATCAGCAACAAATGGCTCCGTTTCTGCTTGAACACTGTCAACGCGGCGGAGAATGTTAACACATACGTATCTACATACATATTTATATTTAAGTCGTAGTTTATTTGTGACGTATTTACAGCTTTATTCTAGTTTGTTAATTCAGGATTTTCATGTAAGCCATTTATTCACGTTTATTTAGGTTCAATATTTAACAATTTCATTTATTCACTTTGTATTAATAATATTTGACCTAGTTTTACTTTATGCAAGTAATCAATTATGTTAAGAAATTATTTGTATAAAAGAATGAAAATAATAAAGAATTAATCAGTTGTCTTTTGTAAAGCGACCATAAACAATTTGGATTTATTTAATAATCATCGTCTTTCCTTCAAGTTTATGTGCTTGTAAGGAGAATTTTAAGGACTGTAAGTGTCAGTTCAAATTTATGTGTTTGAACTGAATACCACTAGGTCCGATTCATATTAACAACAACAACAAGTACAGTTTCTACAAAACTAAACAGGTGCCTTCAGGAGCACGCCTCAAACAGCACTAGATACTCTACTGGGCTTAAGTCCGCTGAGCATACATGTAGAGGAACAGGCATTCAGGAGTGCTCTTCGACTCAGAGAACTAAGCGAATGGCGCAGTCAACCCTTTGGACATTCTGCGATTCTAAGACGTGTAAGGAATGTGGGAGGGATAGCCTATGCAAGTGACTATATTTCACTAAGATTAAGCTTCTACCCACCTGACGCCTGGGTCCATAACAATCCAGCTGTTTTGAACTGCAGGGACGCCTTGGAAAACACTGGGTTGTCCATCAAGCTCTGTTGGGTTCCTGGCCATTACAACATCACAGGTAACGAGACTGCAGACGAATTGGTCAGGCTAGGATCCGAATCAACTACAATTGAAGTAGACAACTCGGTTAAACCACCACTGTGCCATTTCCTACAGGTCATTCACAGACATTACTCTGAGAGAATCCAACAAAATTGGCTGGACGAAATGGGATGCACCATCTCCAAAAGAATCTGGCCCACACTCTTAGAGAAGAGAACATGGTCGCTGATGTCATTGTCAAAACCTGATTTAAAACTTGTGGTGGGTATCATCACAGGTCATTGTAAGGTGAGGGCTATGAGCTCGAAATGGGACGGCGACGACATTGGCTACTGTAGGATCTGTCAAGTTGAAGAGGAAATCGAGACAGTCGAACACTTGCTCTGCCACTGCCCAGCACTCATTAATGTGAGACACAGACTAGTGGGAGAACTAGTGTCACATGATCTGTCTTCTTTTTCTAACACTGACCCTACAGTAATCCTTCAATTAGCCAGAAGATTCAAGTGGCTAAAGACGACACGGCAAACTCCTCAGCCTTAGATCACACTCTATAACTCTACCTCTTATCTTTACCTCTTCTATCGATCACTTTTTCCTCATTTCTTAACATTCTTCTAGGATGAACGCAATGCACTTATAGGTCTCCGAGTGGAGCGGTTGCCTTACCATATTACCGCGCGTCCTTTAACCAAACCTAACCTATCCAATGTTTCAATGTTGGTCGGAGGGTAGTATTCTCAACGTCCTCAAACAGCGTGGCATGGCTGACCGTATCAAAGGCCTTTGATAGGTCAAGAGCCACCACTACTCTTCTATGGCACGGCCTGTTCTAGTTGAGTCCTCGACTGATATGTGTGGATATGGCGTACAATGCTGTTGTAGTGCTATGTAGTGGACGGAAACCGTGTTGATAGTTAACAACTGAATAGCTTCCTCTGATACTGGGGAGGAGTAAAGCCTCGAGAGTCTTTGCTACTGGCGACAAAAACGAAATTGGCCTGTATGATTCACCTTTGCTGGCATCCTTGCCTGGCTTCAGTAGCGGGACCACCCTGCCCATTTTCCGGGCTTCGGGAACTATGTGGGTGGCTAACGGCAAGCTAAGGACTTTGGTTAGATACTCAACTTCCGGTGTATCCAGTTGCTTCGACATTGCCATTGATATTCCGTCCGGGCCCAACGCTTTAGATGACTTAGCGTCGGATGACATTCACAATATCACCCATCATAAACTGTGATGTACATCCTCGGCGGGAAGAGCTCTTATACGACGTAGTACTCTTCGCCCTGCCCTATCACTCTCGGGGTGCTCGACAAATTGGCGGTTAAAATGGCCAGCGCACCTCTTCGGATCAGTCACCGTTACGTCGTTAAATGTGACTGCTGTCCTATTATCCTTTTTGAGAGGGTTCGAGAGTGACTTTACCGCAACACTTCAGATGGTCTAGCCCTTTTTCCGCTTATGCTCCTATACCAACTAAAGGGATGCAAGTGTGACATATTTCTCTATTTATGCCATGGAGAGAAAACGCTCGTCATGTTGTGCCCTGTTTGATCAAACGCGTGACAGTACGTGACATCCAACCAAATGCTCGATGTCTCGACATGTCGGTCAGACTCAAACCCATCGTTATACAATGTAATGACCAATAAAAGGGGGTGTTGAATAGTGCGTCATACAAAATGTTCTATCAAAAAAAAAACAACAACAATTATGAAACAATTGCCAAAGAAAAAGATACACACGTGATGAAGGCAAAGCGCAATCGCTACCTGCTTTCCCGATATGTGAAAAAATATTTTTTTTTTTCTAATAAAGAATTTCTTGGCAATTACTAAAATATTAAAGGTACTTCTAATTGTCCACACAAAATGTTTACATTTCGTGGTTGTTGACAAAACAATCTAAAATGCTAAACCTTATTAAAAACAATAATCCCCTGAAAAATGTTCTTATTTTGGTTATAATTTCATAAATGTTTGGCTTCGGTAGTGAGGTGTAAATGAGAATGAGTGCTACTGTAATTCACGTAACAACACTATATACTTCCATTGTTCAATTCTGTGCAACTTCTGTTATTGAATGAGAGTCAAATCTCTGCCCACAAACTTTATTTTTAAAAGAACACTATGTGTAGATAGAAAATAGGCAAACAATATTTACCTCTTTTATATGATATATTATATATTTACCTCTTTTAAATTGGGATTATTCTATATATTTCATTTTTTCTATTCATTTGTTGATGTCTATGCACATTTTGTTATTGAACTCAATTTTATATTTACGCGGTGTTTGTTACTTCAAAATTACAGCACACACAAAAACACACCCTCGACGTCGAAAGTAACACACACACTCTCTCAATTTAAGCACACGTACACAAATGACACACAATTTGACGATGACACGGTTCGATGTCATCGTTGACACCCTGCATTAATTTAGAACACCATGCAAATATTCGAGTCAGCCATGCCACGACAATGGCACACATGAATCAAAATAGGGGATGTTGTTGGTTGTCACTGCCTATCAAATGCATAGCGCATGATTGAATAGACAAAGTCAGTGTGTCAAGAAAAGCATAATTCATACAATTCGTCTTGTGCAGGCCTTTAATACCAACCTTTTGACTTCCACTGTCAGTTCACTGACTCTGGGATCAGGGCAGTTCTCTAAATCGAAGGTTGGTGAACTCTCTGAACTCATTCCAGTGGGTTTTCCCATGGTTAAGGAAAGTGCGGCGTTCAGAGGTTATGAAATCGGGTGATCTGCCGATGGAGACAATTACCGTGAGATGGTCTAAGCCAAGAGAAATAACGGGTTGCCAAGTCACGTCATTTATCAGACCGGGTGACACAATGGTTAAATCTGGCGAACTGTGAAACTCTCCTCTTATTCGGGTGGGGGCATCCTCGTTTACCGTGCAAAATGTGGAGCAACCAATCTGCTCTGCCATCGCTGATCCCCTCTGGTCATTACCTAGGACCGAATGCCACAACTCATGGTGGGCATAAAAATCCCCTAGTACCAGGCGGTTATTGCCTTCCAACAATGGGCAAATACCTCGGTTCACAGATATTAATCGGCGGGATATACACATTAAGCACCTCTACATCGGCAGTTCCACAATTGACTGCTACCCCATGCACTCCGTGTATGGTTCACTAGAGACTAGCTCAGGAGAGATAGGTATGTATTGAACAGGATAGTGTAACAGTAACGCTAATCCCCTCCGGCCGATCATCGGAAGCCGATCATCGGAAGCATAGCTGGATGCTACCGGACGCGTCCACAGGTTGCGGATAGTGGGACGCCCAATAGATATATTGGGCAGCTGCGAATAAATAAGCAGTCGCGGACAACTCAGCGGTCTCCGGGGGGAGAGTCTCGGAACAAATATCCGAGTGCCCATGATCCCTGGTTACGACGAGGCGAACAACTGGCGCCTCAAAATACCCAGTGATCGGTGTTGGTCTACCGATAAATAAGACCCCCTAACGCTGGGGTGTTATGTAAACCGTGCCCATCAGTGTTCCTAGGTTTGCAGTCAGGGTTCCGACTGTATTCGTACGGTTGCCTCACTGATACCTGGGCGCCTCAGTGAGTAACAGGCTTAGTTGCCAAGTCCTTGCCATGGTAGGGAGGCTATGCCATGGTGGACCTCGTTTCCTCCAAGTCCGACTTTTCATATGGAGAAAGATAAAAAAACAATAAAAAAACAAAACAAACCCCCAACAACCACCAACGACACCATTGCTTCCAAGGAAGCAACGACCAAGGACCGGCCACAGGACATGAATACCAAATCGGGAGGGGACGACTCAATACTGAATTACAGTGACGTAATCCACGACAGTATTCTGCAACAAAATGAAGAGTTGTCTGCCCTCCTGGAAAAGACGAAAACGTTAAGACTCAGCCAGGGAAGTGTTCCTTCGGGCTTTAGTAACGACTCACCACTCTCTGATGAGGAACTTGACATAACGGTCATTTCCTCGTCTCAAAGTGGTGAGTCATCACAAAAGACCGCTAAGAACACTCCTAACGAGACTTGCGTGGAGTCCCAAATCCAGGAGGGTTCATCGTCGGTAACCTCCGATGCTAAAAGCCTCGATCGGCAAGATACCATCCTTGTAGGCACTGGCAGGAAATCTACCAGTAACCCTACCTCTCACGATGGTGTCGAACCGAAGGAGGCGAAAGCAAGGCGGGATTATAAAAGGTCAATAAATTATTGCAAAAAATTTATTGGCCGAGACCCCGCGCACATAACGGAGAGAGAGAGGATTCTGATCAAGATGAACCTCAAGGTAATTGCTAAGTTTGAGAAGAACCACCCGCACTTACCAAGTTGTTCTCTTAATCAGATACTCCTAACTCTCCCACCACCTAACATCAACAGTAGGGCAAACTCTTCCATAGTTCAACCCACTGTTGAGAACCCTGCAGAGGTCAGCAAGTCCACCACCGACAGCAAGGCCACTCCGGCTGTTGTCCACGCGGTGACACCTAATGCTGGACCTGCTGGGTCATCTACCCCAAAATGCAGGGACAGGAAGGTCAAGAAGCCGGAACCTGTGATAGCTGCAGCCTCGACAGTTCCAACGGAGGCCGACACCCCTTCACGCTCGGCGTTGAAGAGGGGCCGGTCTACGGAGGAACCACACCCTGAGGCCAAGAAGGTATCTAAGGCCCCGGCTTCTCGGCCTTTACCTACAACTTCCACTTCGTCTGTCAGCAAGTCGCTTGTGACCAAACCACCCCCAACAGGCCCTTCAAGCTCCAAGCCTGATAAGGCCCACAAAGGAGAGGTCAAGTCACAAACGGCAGGCCAAGCAGGACGAAAGAGGAAGTACTCCCAGACGATCTACCCGGATAATCTCCGAGTAGCAATCATTGACAGGGCTGAACCGGAAGGTAAAATCAGCGATAGTCGATGGCTGCTATTCGAAGATCGACTGAGGGAGCTTGTCTTTACGGGAGAGGGTGACCCACGAAGGATGCAGTTTGGCAGCGCCACCCTTTACAGAGGCGCGAAAGTCATGTGCTGCGAAAACCAGGAATCTAAGGATTACCTAGTCACCGCAGTATCTGGCTTCCGTGACCTATGGCAAGGATGCGATCTGGCGGCTGTATCCTTAAAGGACATCCCCTGCCGTAGAGTATTGACAGCATGGGTGCCACCACCATCTGTGGATCCGGCACGCATCCTGACAATACTAGGCAAGCAAAACCCCAACCTCAAAACAGACAGCTGGCGTCTTGTCAGTTCTACCACTGAGGGAGGGGGCCTGGTCATCAAAGTATCCATGGATAAGGATGGCCAGGAGTATCTTCAAGCTCGTGGGGGAAAATTGCACTTCGGCGCCGGGTGGATCCGCTTCCGGCTAACGCATTAGGAGGAAGGAAGCAGCAGCTACTCAATATCATGCAGATTAATCTGCATCACTGCAAAGCAGCTGCTGCTGAACTCCTCCTATCCCTCACGAGATCTGAAGTTGACATAGCCCTAATCCAGGAACCCTATACATACAATAATAGGGTAACTGGGTTAGGGAGTGGGCAGTATGTCACTTACGCGGTCTCCAATGGTGATAAGGTAAGGACGTGTATTGTTGCCAAAAAGAATTTAAATCTTATCTTCCTTAGCAACTACAGTGGAGGAGACGTCACGGTAGCGAGAATGGAATGCAAATCCGGGAGGGTTCTCTTTTTCATTTCTCTCTACCTACCGTATGAGCGACCTGACCCACCCGGCCACGAGGTAGAGGAGCTGCTCGACGATCTGGTCAACAACGGGCACATAATTATAGGTTGTGATGCCAACGCACACCACTTCCAATGGGGCAGTACGAATACTAACGTCAGAGGTGAGTCGATTTTTGATTTTATTTTGAAATATAACCTTAAAATATGTAATAGGGGCAACGATGCAACATTTCTAGTCAAAGACAGGGCTGAGGTCATTGATCTCACCCTTACTAACAAGGATGAATCTCTCATACTAGATTGGAAAGTTTCTCTCGAATGCTCATTCTCAGACCATCGAAAGATAAATTTCAAAATACTGGTGGAGGGTATTCATCAAAAACCTCATAGAAACCCAAGAAAGGCAAATTGGGACAAATTTACGGAGCTGGCTATACCCTGGCTTCACCGTTTCGACAACATGGTCTTAATCTCAACCCTCGATATAGACAACTCCGTAAATGCGATAACTAGTGCCTTAATTGGGTGTTATGAAAAAGTCTGTCCACTAACCCACCCGGGAAAGAAATGTCAACCTGTTTGGTGGTCAAAACATTTAGCCAATTTAAGGAGGGATAGTAGACGACTGTACAATAGGGCCAACAAGACCAAACATAGTACGGACTGGGATGCCTACAAAGCATCCTTCAACAAGTACAACAGTGAGATCAAGAAGGCCAAGCGCTTATCTTGGGTATGCTTTACTGAGTCGATTGAAAGTGTCAACGAAGCCTCCAGATTTCCTAAAGTCCTTTCGAAGGACCCTAAATCCATCGGAAGTATAAAACGGACTGACGGCACATGGACTGACTCTGGACTAGAGACTCTTAACCTGCTAGCCAACACGCATTTCCCCGGCTGTATTGACGCGACAAGCAATCGGCAAACCGATCAAGTACATCATGATCATACAACTAGGGACCAAGACTTGGCTGACAGAATAGTAAGTTTACCCAAAATCAAGTGGGCCATAGATACATTCAAACCTTTTAAATCTCCAGGACCAGATGGTGTTATTCCTGCTATGCTCCAAAGTGTCTCAGCGGTAATATCACCAGTACTGAGTGAGATTTTCAAAGCTTGTCTGCGTCTATCCTACATCCCGGAATCATGGAGGGAAGTCACAGTCACTTACATCCCCAAAGCGGGGAAACCTAGTCACTCACTTCCCAAGGACTACAGACCGATAAGTCTCTCATCCTTCCTATTGAAAACCTTGGAAAGGCTGATAGACACAGAGATCAGATCTCTAATACCCCAAACCGCCATCAGCACTGCTCAACATGCCTATATGAAAGGCAAATCTGTTGAGACAGCGCAACATGATGTCGTAGGGTACATAGAGAAGAACATGAATGGCTCCTTATTCACATTGGCTGCCTTCCTCGACATTGAGGGAGCTTTCAACAACGTCACGTTGGAATCCATTCATGAGTCACTATCAAAACTTAATTTGCCACAACTCCTCATAGACTGGGTTGATAACATGCTTAGCAGCAGAATCATCAACTCGAGCATTGGGGAAACATCTGTCAGGAAATCGGTCACTAGGGGCACGCCACAAGGGGGCGTCTTATCACCGTTACTCTGGCTTTTGGTTATTAACAACATACTTATAGATCTAGAGGTAACAGGGACGAAAGTAGTCGCATACGCTGATGATGTCGTCCTACTAATTGCCGGGAAATTCCCGCAAACAATCTCGGACCTAATGCAAGGAGCTCTAGTCACTCTATCACGGTGGGCGCGTCACAACGGGCTAGGCGTGAACCCAGCAAAGACAGAGCTCGTACTTTTCACTAAGAAGCGTAAATATCCGTTATTTACACTACCAAGACTAGATGGAGTCACTCTAAACCTCTCACCAGAGGCCAAATACCTTGGTACAATCCTTGACCGACAATTAAGTTGGAAGAGGAATATTGAGGAACGAGCCAAAAGAGGTTTTATCGCACTCTATTCTTGCAAGAACTCCATAGGTAAAAGCTGGGGCCTCAAACCATACATCATTAAATGGTTGTATGAGTCAATCGTTCGCCCCATTCTAACCTATGGATCTCTAGTATGGTGGCATTCACTAAAGAAGCCAACTTACTCACGCAACATTAACAAAGTCCAAAGAGCCGCATCCTTACTAATAACGGGTGCCTTTAGGAGCACGCCTCAAGCTGCGCTAGATACTCTACTGGGTTTAAGCCCGCTGGCCATACATGTAGAGGAACTGGCATTCAGGTGTGCTCTTCGGCTCAGGGAATTAGGTGAATGGCGTAGTCAACCATTTGGTCACTCTACGATTCTAAGGCGTGTAAGGACTGTGGGAGAGATAGCCTATGCAAGTGATTATATTTCACCACGATTAAGCTTCTGCCCACCTGAAATACACATACCTGACAGAGAAGCCTGGTCCCAAAACAGCCCACCTTTCCGCGGCATATCTGTATATACCGACGGCTCAAAGATGGAATGCGGTACGGGAGCAGGTGTCTTCTGTGACACCCTTAATATCCGTGAATCCTACAAGCTCAGAAACAACTGTAGCGTTTTTCAGGCAGAAATCCTGGCGGTCAAAAAGGCCATAGACCTGCTAGTCACGAGGAACATAGAGGTCGGAAGTCCGGTGACTATATATGTCGATAGTCAGGCGGCACTGAAAGCACTAAATTCCTTTACTATCAAGTCTAGGGCTGTTTTAAGCTGCAGAGAAGCCTTGGAACACTCTGGGTTGTCAATCAAGCTTTGTTGGGTTCCCGGCCATTACAATATCACAGGTAACGAAACTGCAGATGAATTGGCCAGGCTAGGATCCGAATCAACTACAATAGAAATAGATAATTCGGTCAAACCACCACTGTGCCACTTCCTACAGATCGTTCGCAAACACTACCAGGAAAAGACACAACAAAAATGGCTGGATGAAACGGGATGTACCATCTCCAAAAGAATCTGGCCTGTGCTCTCAGAGAAGAGAACAAGATCGCTGATGTCATTGTCTAAACCAGATTTAAAACTTGTGGTGGGCATCATCACAGGTCACTGTAAGGTGAGGGCTATGACCTCAAAATGGGACAGCGATGATATTGATTACTGCAGGATCTGTCAAGATGAAGAAGAAATTGAGACAATCGAACACTTGCTCTGCCACTGCCCAGCGCTCATTAACGTGAGACATAAACTAGTGGGAGAACTAGTGTCACGTGATTTGTCCTCTTTTTCTACCACGGACCCTGCAGTGATCCTTCAATTAGCCAGAAGGTTCTAGTGGCTAAAGACGACACGGCAAACTCAGCCGTAGACTACGTACTATCTATTTCCTACTGTCAATTCTTATACTTTCTCTATCTTTCGCTCTAACTCTTTCCTAGGATGAACACAATGGACCTATAGGTCTCCGAGTGGAGCAGTTGCTAAATGCAGCTGCGCGTCCTTTAACCTAACCTAACCTAACGCTAATCCCCACCTCCACTTCTATTGCGATCTTTCCTCAATACGTTGTAACCATTTCAACGCCGTAAGCTACAATTTTCATTGAGCTTGGTTTCCTGCACCGCTGCGATCTTAATATTCCTCCGATTCATAAAATCCACTATCTCATCAATTTTACCTCGGAGTCCGTTGCAATTGAATTGCAAGAATGATGCAATGTCCGAAATCGGAGAAACAACATGTGGCGTTAGGTGCTGTTCTGAAGACTGCGGTGGAGTTCCATACACCTACAACGACTCGGAATTTGACGACGAGGTGGACTCACTGGATAATACGTTGGTACAGCACGATGCAACATAGTCCCTATCGCTATAGTCTCGCAACCGGGTTAAACCAGAACAGTTCCTAAAATCCACCCATCCTCCGCATCCATTACTTCGCACTGAGACTGATCTATGGTGGGTGATGTTTTGGCAAACCGTACAGAACCATGTTCCGGGGTTTTTCTCAAGCCCGGCACGGATCAAAGAATCCGGAGCAAGCATTCCGGGATGTGCTGCTCCCAATACAAAAAAAATAAACAAACACGAACATGTATACACTGGGTTGGCAGCCGCTGGCCGAAACTGGAGTGTTGTTGTTTCGGGTCAATCCGGTGTCGTAGAACCCGCTGCTGTGGGACTGTTATTACTTGATTAGTTGTTCTTATTGTTCTGTTTCCGTTTTCTGACTCCATTCAATCTGGTTCTGCCTCTAAATCCAGTCTCGAAAAGGATACAACCTGTGGATTGTGTAGATGAGTAGGTTTAGCTGGACAGCGAAATAGGTGCAACGTGTCATGTGGGCCTGTGCCACAAGCTGGGCAGATGTTCTGCACACCGCTGTTAATCCGGGCCCAGTAGGAATTTAGGCGGCTGCACCATCCGGATCGTAATTGAGCCAAAACTACTCGGGTTTGTCGGCGCAACTCTCGTTCTTCAGCTGAGACGGAAGGGGGATGATCTCCTAGCACAGTATTCACTCTATATCCTTGAATACTCTTCAGTCCCGCTTGATAGGTCTGTGGATCTAGAGGCTGTCTAGATCATGAAGGTTTTTCCTAACGTGCCTGGGCAGAGGTTGACTATCTACAAGATGGTGATTCGGATGGCTTTGTCTATAACACCCAGGTAGGTATTGCATTGACAGCACTGCGTAGCACTAACATTGGAGGACCACACCGGAGCCGCATAGTTTACCACAGACCGTCCTATCGCGTTGTAAGAGGCCAACAAGGTTTCCTTATCAGCTCCCCAAGTACTGCCGGCCAGATAGCTGTGGTATGCGCGGACGACTTAAAGTGGCTATCGACCGATCGGAAATGTCATCAATAATGGGTCCGGACGCCACGAGCGTACAGTCATCTACGTACGTTGTAATCCGTCTGGAGGGCCGGGAATGTCAGAAAGGTAGAGGTTATACTGTTCAGAAGATATCACCCCACCTTGAGGAACTCCCCGTTTAACTCTCCGGATGCTCGACATCTTGTTTCTGAATTCCACGTGCGACTGGCGTCTACACATGTAGTTTACTATCCAACGTTTCAAACTTGGCCGAAGGGCGGTGCGCTCAACGTCCTCGAACAATGTGGCATGATCGAATGTATCGAAGGCTTTTGATAAATCAAGTGCCACCATAACTGTTCTATCGCACGGCCTGTTCTGCTTGAGACCTCTGCTGACATGCGTGGAAATGGCGTGTAATTAGTGTGTAGATTTAATTTAATTAAGGGCTGGCGTATTAGTGGGAGATGAATATTTTTGTACGCTGCGTCGAAATTTAGATAACTGGTATTTATATGAATCTTACCTCTACGTACGCGCGTACGAAATTTCAAAGTTAAACAAGTTTAACATTTGCAATCTCTTTCAATGTGTGTTGAAAAAAATTAAATGTTTGTTACAGAAAAGTGTAATAATTGGACGCGTTTTAAAAATTATCAATTAATTAACAACGTAATATGTTAGCATATTTAAGATAAGAAACTGGCGTATTTGGGTAGTGCATACGTATAAAATATTGGGGAAGTTGAACGTTTGTGTACGCTTCGTCGAGTTTTAGGTTACGCTTTTAATTATGTTGAGAAGGTAGGCATGTACATTCGAACGAAACGCAAGCGTTTTGGTAAGGCCCTGCATCATAACTATTAATCACATAAAAAATTAAATGTTCTAAAAATAAAATCTAACTCATATCTTGTTTGCACAATTGTGTCAAATCATAGACAATATGTTAACAGTGAGAAAAAAAACGTTGAGCGCCCCATTTAAGATTGGCCTGACATTTTTAAGCGGTATTTCACCCACGAATAAGTAAAAAAGCAGTTCGGCCGGGCCGAACTTTGAATACCCTCCACCATTTAGAACAAATTTGAAAATTTTCGAAAAAGATAACATTCGCCAAAATTCTGTTTACATTTTCAAAATACCGAATATAGCTATTATATTAGGGCCTGTACGACGTGTCACAAGCCATTGCCACCTTCAAATTCGAAACTTGAAATAAACGGCAAATAATGTAGCCAAAATCATCAAAATACCGTACATAGGAAGGTACCGTTATATAGGAGCTATATGAAGACCTGGACCTGCATAGACAATTTTCTGTCACAGCCTGTAGCTTCCATTACGAACTTCAAACACCAAATTTGAAACAATTCCGGTGAATAATGTTGCTAAAATCATCAAAATACCGAATATAGGGAGGTACCGTTATATGGGGGCTATACGAAGACGTCGACTTGCACGGACAATTTTCTGTCTCAGGCTGTTGTATTCATTTCGAACTTCAAATGCCAAATATGAAACAATTCCGGTGAGTAATGTCGCTAAAATCATCAAAATACCGAATATCGGGGGATACCGTTATATGGGGGCTATATGAAAACGTGGACCCACATGGCCCATATACGAACTTAACCTGCCTACTGGAAAAATAGACATGTGTGCCAAATTTTAGCCTTCTATCTCAATTCGTTCGAAAAATAGCATGATTACAACAGACAGACAGGCGGACATGGCTAAATCGTCTTAGAATTTTACGCTGATCAAGAATATATATATATATACTTTGTTGGGTCTAAGATCAATATTTCGATGTGTTACGAGTTACAAACGGAATGACAAAATGAATATACCCTCCATAGTATGGTGGAGGGTATAAAAAAATTACTTTGCAGTAATAAGGTTAAAATACCTACCAGATATAAAAATTTCAGAGTGATCCGAGCATAGCCCCCGAAACACAACTTGCTCCCAAATTTCTTAAATTATCCCTAATATTTTGTAAATATTTTATCAATATATATAGAGTCACAGTTACTGCGCTCATTTCATCGCTAGGGACAAAGTAACACGAATTTCATATTATTTTTGCATGCTATATGGTGATATTTTTGAAATTTGCGAATAAAATTTGCTCACGGGACTATGGCCACACTATAAAAAAAGCAATATAATTAATTTCGAGGCCTAAATGAGGATTGCACTCAGCTCGCGTAAATAAACTGAATATTCTTTCTCATTATCCTAATTACAACATAAATCTTTTCGGGGGTAAATCCATATGTAACGAGATATATGGTTCCAAAGTTACCGGATAAAAGAAAAAATAATTCAAAATGCAGTACATCTCGAGACATGGGGTTTCAACGTTCCCCAAGTACCTTATTTATATTTCGTTATTTTAAAGCCGATTACTGAAACATAAATTATTACCATAGAAAATGTGGAACATACCGCAGTGTAGAAAATCTCAAGCCCTGAATGTGTTTTTAAAAAGAAGATTGGATCTAAAAATATCTACTTCAATCAGTCAAATTAAAACATTTTTTTTTTTTCAAACTTTGGAACAATGGATTTATTGTCATTATACTCAGGATAAAAAACATGATGCATGATCTCCAAATTCCAAATCCCAATATTTTATTCACATGATTCTTAAATAACTTTAAAAATGAAGAAAATAAAAATCAGACAAACTTTTGTAACCTGAGTTGATGCGAAAACTTCTTAAATCGAACCGATCTAAAAACGTGTTTTCATTATAAGCAAAAATATTTATGGAATCATAATGACAGACAACGCCTAAATTTCCTGAGTACATAAGTTAAAAAATTTTTTACAACAAATTCCTTCTGGAGATGTCTTCAACACTAATGTTCTCTTCCTGAACCTACTATTTTATGGTCTGCTCCACAACTGCAAGAACATAAAAGATTTTACTGTTATTTTTTCGATATTATAAAGGAAATTCAGTTATCGTAGAAAAACCTTTCTTGCAGTTCTGCAAAAGACCATAAGCGATCTAACGTCTAATTTATTTTAATTTACACTTTCACCCTCGAATAGATTCAACGTAATCCTGGTATAGCTATAACTCTCGGATCGGCCTGAAATTTATACCTCGATCACTTGATTGCAATAGTCGTAATCGGTCGTAATCTGTTCTTTAAACGGTTTTCAGAATATAAGTATAAAATGAAAGCTTAAGAAAACCTATCCAAATATGTAGAATTTTATTGAAGAACAACATTCTCTTTAAAACAGTAAGGGTGAGCAGCTTGGCATAATGACTAGGCATATTAATGTCAAATTTTAGGCATATTAATGTCAAATTATAATGGGAAGATAGATAAGATAATATCCTCGGAACTACAAGAAATATCGACACATGTAGCATAATTTTGAAAGGGCATATCACTCCATAATGGAGCATAGCCCCTAAACTCAACGTGCTTCAATTTCAATTGATATTTCTTCTATATTTCACATGAAATTTTAATTTGTTACCACTTATGGTTTCGGAAGACGTTTCTGCGAGTGCAGCTGTAAGCATCCTTCGGACAATTCATTAGAAATTAAATTAGAATCTACATACCCAGATCAGGTGGAAGATTAGGAAATTCGTATATATGTTCACAACTGTTTTTCGAGTATGGTATACAATATCCAAATTCAAAATCGAATGTCTTTAATAAGCGGTCACGGAAGAAGTGTCTTTCTATCATCCGAAAATTATTAACAGGTCGACTTCCAACAGTAAATTCCACACTGAGAGCGAAAATGTTAAATTTAATTTCAAATCTGGAATAATTTTCATAAAGTAATGTACGTACGTTGCGCCAACAGTTATCAAATTTAGAAACGCTGGTGTAAACTGATATCGCACATATCGCCCAGCGTTAGGATCGGCTGTTTCCTCAATTGTCAAATCTTCTGTGGCACTCAGCAATTTCTCCAGGTTTGCATCGGCAATGCACTGCTCACTTGGGGGTTTCGCTATTTCAAATAGAACTGCTCCACTTTCGAGATCTCTAATCTTAAAACGTGTAAAGTCAATTTCGTAGATATTTGCACTTGGAGAACATAGATAGTCCTCGCTGATTTTATTAAGTCTTAGAACATCATCGGGTGTTATTGTGCATAGTGCTTTCTCATTGTCAACAGTGACTGAGATATTGTTCGACGGTAGCGAATTCAATTGTTTTCCAACAATGCTCATTTTTTATTTAATAGAGTCTTTTCTGAAGCTCCAGAGGCAGGCCTTACTTAAAAATTTTATACTCTTTTATTTGTCCTTTTTTTGTTCTACTTGCATCCATACAAAATATTTTAGTTAAGGGTGCAAGTGCGCATGTCGATTTTCTATTTATCGATTATTTTCTTATAATTTATCTCGCAACAAGGACGATAAGATAAGAAGTTATTGATTCGATATATTTTTGTTACAAACATACGTCATTTGCAAATATTTTTTGACAAACGGTCTGTACCACAATGAAAAGTACAAACATACATTAAGACCCGTTCTTATATCTTTCATTTATAGTCCACTTTTGTTATCCCTTATTTTAGGAAAGATGTTAAAAGTTGACATTATCAGGTTCTTATAATTTGACATTAATATGCCCTTATAATTTGACATTAATATGCAAAGCTTTTTATGCACCCTCACCATTACTTCTACATCTACTCATACTATACCAATATTAGAATGAAAATTGATTTTATTATCAAATATCTGTTTTTTCCATTGTGTTAATTAATCGAAGATCTCTACTTTTAATTTATATGAACAATAGAATGAATCTATATAACAGCGTTACTAAAATTCGACGCAGCGTACACAAACATTCAACTTCCCCACTATGGTAAAATTTTTTGTGCGTCCGGATTACCCAAATACTCAATACAATACGTTGTAAAAGTTGATAACATTCTAAATTTTCCCAATTTCTATATTTTCTAATTAAAAACAGTCACATTTTTTATATTACTTTTTTCTATTTTCGACGCACAAAAATATGTGTACTTTATCCTTTACTTTTTCTAAAGTAAGGGATAACAAAACAGGGCTTTAAAGAAAATATATAAAAAATTGACCTATTTTTTATTTTAAAATCTGCCACTTTTCATACATAAGTATTCTAGATATGATTTTTTTTAATGACAAAGTCGAGTTCATCAAGATATGTTGGCCATATTCAATTTAGCAAATGACTCTAAATCTATTATTTTGCAATGGTATACGGCATGGTAGAAGAATATAGGTAGGCACATCGACTCAGCTTCTGGGACAACGAACTGTCAAACTAATTTTGGAATTTAAAATGATAAATGAAAACCATCTTCCTAAAGCAGCACTAAAACAAGTGTATGCATTGGAAGCAATGTAGTTGTTGTGGGCAAAAAAGTCCATCACTACAAAAACAAAAAACTTTGCTGTGAAAAAGATCTGCCAATAGAACTTGAGTCGAACCTGGAGAGTTTCTAGTGTATAATTCGCATATGCTAATTTGCAATAAGTTCGAAATATATACTACTTTCCAGGGAACGGCCCTTGTAAGCCATCATCCACACCAAATATGCCTGATGAGCCGCTTAACCAACGGCGAAACGCGTCGCATAGTGGTGAGTGTGTGATAGTGTCTATCTGGCTTTCCTTTTCACTGCAAATTTCAGATCATTAAGCTCGTCTCGAAAGAGAAAACAAACACGAAAATTATTTAAATTTGTAAAAAATGTTGAAAAAAACGCTTATTATAATAACACCTGAATGACGTCCTATAAGAAAACATATAAAAATCTAATTATTTTTGAAGAAACATTTAAAAAATTTTGACATATCAATGTTTCCAAGCGTTGATGCATCTACCTGTATTCTTCTACCATGGTATACGGGATGGATCGGCATTTATTTCTGCCATATCTCTGTGGTCACATTTCAATTTATTTTTGACAGAGAAAATTCATACTCTCGATTATTTATGGGACATCAAAAGATATAATTCGAATATAAAATCCATTAAAAAAGGGGCCAATATAATTTCATAAATGTTCATTAAAAAAAGCACTCATCATTTTCAATCCCTCGACCTAGCAATGATGGGATTATCCACATTCTCCTCATCCTCCGTGATTGTTACTTCAGATCCTATCCTCGCATCTAATTCTACCGTTAGAAATTCGAAAGTTGTTAACACTTCGTAGAGTAGAAATGTCTTTATCAGGGAGTTTATTATCCAGTGCGGGCGTTAATAGATCCGGAGTTTGAGGCGCCTTTCTTTACTGATCGCGTACTGATCTTACCAGTAAGATGATAGTAGGTGCTGCAACTAGAAAAACTGTTATATTTGCCTTAACTCTTACGGTATGTGGCCTATTGTTAGCGTCACATATGCAGGTTTTTAATACAAGCTTGAATTTCAAACAGGTGGGATATCTTATAGGCGCTCCAACTCCATCGGTTAATCGCTTTCTCAGAGGTAAGTCTATAACTCTAAAGTTTGCACAAACGGCATAAATAGAAGTTCGCAGTCAAACAAATACTTCGGTATGGAGGCTAGACCAAGTTGTTAGGGTTCATCCCGACGAAGATGGCGTGGTTCGTGTCATAGAAACATAGTTAGACTTGGTTAGGCGCGATGACATCGAAAAATCAAGAGAAATTCATGCAAAACGATAAAATGTGTCTTCGGAGTCGAGTAGGTTGACTCCTTCCATTAGCTACCTAGATAAGAAGAAACAAGTAAAAAAGCTGTAAGTTCGGCCGGGCCGAACTTTTAATACCCTCCACCATTTGGTACAAATTTGGCAATTTCCAAAAAAAATAAAATAAATAAATAAATAAATAAAATAAAAAAAAATCCTTTAAAAATTCTGTTAAAATCTTAAAAATACCAAATGTCTATACGACGACGTATACATGCATAGGCAACTTTTGTCATAAGTTATTACAACATTTAAATGCGAAACATGAAGAAAAATTTGTTTATAATGTAGCTAAAATCATCAAAATACCGAATATAGGGGGTACCGTTATATGGGGGCTATACCAAGACGTGGACCTGCACATATAATTTTCTGGCATGGGCTGAGTATCCATTACGAACTTCAAATGCGAAATTTAAAACAATCCCGGTAAATAATGTCGCTAAAATCATCAAAATACCGAATATCGGGGGGTACGGTATATGGGGGCTATACGAAGACGTGGACCTACATGGCCCATTTACGAACTTAACCTGCCTACTGGCAAAATATACATGTGTGCAAAATTTTAGCCTTCTATCTCAAGGAGGAGTTACAAACGGAATGACAAAATTAATATACCCTCCATAGTATGGTGGAGGGTATAAAAACTAACTTTCCGTTGTCTACATACTCATTTGTCTTTGGCATTGGTGCTTCCAGCCACTTCGATACATTTCGACACTGTTTGCAAATTTACACTCGAACCTCGGAACTCACCGCATAAAAAACTTATCTGTAAATTTATTTAGCTAATTTTTATTCCTATTCTCTTATATTATTTATATTTTATTTTATTTACGACAAAATTGTACCAAATATAGTAATATTCATTACTTTTCGTGCACTTGTAGTACACATTTTCCAAAACCACCTCTTTATCACCAACCAACCATCAACAGGGACACTAATATAAATTTTGAAAATTCCACCTTCATCCATTTACCTTAAACCAAACGGTTCCAAATTTAGTACCATTTAGTTCAGTTTGCACACTTATTACACATTTCCAAAACCACCTTCATATATCAAACTTATTTTCCGACCTTGATTCTTATACCAAATTTCATGGTTTTACTCTATCCGATCACATAATACCTAATAGCACCATTTTAGAAGTTTGCTGCCATTTTAGAATTTTCGTAAATAAGTTTGTAAGTTCGAATTTCTAAAAACCCTTTGGTACATCTATTCTGCACTCTATTAGTGACTCTTATTCCAAATTCCCATTACTAAGATTCCAGACCTATCGGTTCACCTAAATCCTAATTGTTCCAAATTTAGTACTATTTGGTACACATAAGTACGAATTTCCAAAGCTTCCTACATACCCCATTTCTACTCTCACACAGCAATCACTTTTATCGGTTCGCCTAAATAAAATTTGTACCAAAATTTAGTACCATACATAAAGCAAAACTTCCAAATTTCAGGATTCCAGCTGTATCGGTCCACCTAAATCCAAATTGTCCCTAATTTAGTGCCATTTACTACACTTAAGTGAAATGTTTATAACTACCTACATCATACAGTCCAATAGAAATCTTATTTTCAATTTTCAGGATTCCAACTCGTTGGTTCTCCCAAAATTTAAATTGTACCAAATTTTGTACCATTTAATACCCATAAGTATCATGGCACAATTACAGAATGTAGAACAAAGCTTCCTCCTAAATACAATATTTTCCTTTGGTGCTTCTATTCTGTCAAAACATATAGCATTTTCAGATTAAATGAAACCTTTTGCAATTGAAATGAAACGTTGCAGCGGAAATGAAACTTTTTGCAGTGGAAAATAAACTTTTTGCAGTGGAAATGAAACTTTTTGCAGCGGAAATGAAACCTTTTGCAGGCATGAAACAACATTGTTATTCTATATGGTATTAAATTTTGTGGAGAAAATCCAATATTTCACTCATTTTTTGGGAGTTTCTCCAAAATAGTAATTTTGTGATAAAAAGTAAAAACAAAAATAATTGCTGCATGTTATAAAAATATATTTGACAATATAAGACTCCGGTATAGGGTTGCATTTTTCTAGTTTCTTCGAAATTGAGCTACCTTTCTTATTGAGCCATGATAAGTATAAATTTCCAAAACTGCCTACATTTCTCAGTATCAGAATTCCTGATGTAAATTTGATAATTCCAGCTCTATCGGTTTACACAAATTGAAATTGTACCAAATTAAGTACCATTTAGTATTTTCGTGCACATAAGTACAAATTTCGAAAATTTTCTCTTTATCCCAATTCTGCACTTCATCAGTAATGTTAATATCAAATTCCAAGATTCCAGCTTAATCCATTCCTTCAAATTTAATTTACTACTTTTCGAATACATGAGCACACACTTTAAAATTTTCCCATTCTAAATTTTAAGATTTTAGCTTTACAGTTCACATGATACGAAATAGTACTAAATGTTGTATATTTTAGTATTGTTCGTACACTTATAGTGCGAATTTTTAAAAACCCTTTGGTAAATCTATTATACACTTCCAATATGCCAAAAGCCCAGTCTTATCAGACCCCTTCGCGCAAAGAGTAAGCCTCCCCCAAAATTCTAGCTCAGCCGTTTCGTCTGGGCGTTGATGAATCGTAAAGTCAGTTAATCAATC